CACTGCAGAAATAACTCAGTTTGACACCACTTCAACTGCCATGGCATCATCCCTGTGAAATGCTGGGATTTGTAATTCTGCAAGGTTGAGAGGTTTGCCTTCCCCTTAGGTTGAGAGAGTGTGGCTTGCCTAAAGTAGGCTTCATGGCCAAGTGGGGTTTCGAACCCTGGTCTCCAGAGTTGTAGTCAAGCCGCTGCACCAAACTGGCTCTCTAAAATGGGAATATTCAGCTACAAAATTAAGTTTGCAATATCCCCACATACCTGAAAATAACCCCCATTGCACTGACTTGTAAATTTGAATTTAAAGGACACTGCAAATTTGAAGGAACCTGACACAGACAGGATCACAGGACTCCTATTACAAATCCTATTACAAAATCCTATTATAAAAAGCGACACTACTTGGAACGTGCCACATTATTCAAGGATCTCTCACCGATTCCTAGATTCTTGGATAAAAGTGTCAAATTATTGATGGTCCAAATCTCTAAGTCGGTAAAACCTAGCAGACCATGAAACTGGAAATAACAGTCTGATAATGTAACAATTGGATCCGAATTGAACGGGAACCGAAGAGCACATTTACAAAAAGCAACACGCCTTGGAACATATGGCACATTATCCAAGGAGACCTCACTAATTCCTCAATTTTCAGGTAGAAAATGAATCACGGAGGGAGCAAAATGCAAGTCAGGAAGACTTGAAAACCCGTGAAGCCAAGAGCTGACAATGCAGGCTGAGTCTCCCTGATCTGGAATTGTGAAATACTCCAAAAAATCCAAAACCGTCCACAAGGTTGGCTGAGATAGTGACACCTTTGCTTTCCAATTCAACTTTTGTTTCATGCACCAAATTATTAAAAATACTGTCCATAAAATTCACAATTCAGGCCTTGCATATAAGGTGTATACGGAACATAAATGAATTTCAGATTTAAAGCTCGGTCCTGTCTCCCAGATATGATGTAGATGCAAACATTCCAGAATTTGAAATAACCCAAAAACTGTCCACAGGGGTGGCTGAGACAGTGACACCTTTGCTTTCTGATGGTTCAGTTCAACCTGCCTTGAATCCCATTGTGGGAGAAAGGTGGGATATTTATTAAATAAATAAATGAATAAAAATAAATATATAAAACGTACCCAAACTTTGGGGGGTTGCAAACTGCCAGAAATAGTGCAAATTGAGTCCACTTTTAGGGTTAGGGTTAATGCTAGGGAATCATGGGAATTGTTGTTGTTTTTCTGAGACATTGAGCCTTCTCTGTCAGAGAGCTCTGGTGCCACAATAAACTACAGTTCCCATGATTCCCTAACCCTAACCCTAAAAGTGGACTCAATTTGCACTATTTCTGGCAGTCTGCAACCCTCCTTTATACCATGCATAAACTTATTTAAAATATTGTATATGAAATCACCTTCAGGCTATGCATATAAGGTGTATGCAAAACATAAATGAATTTAATGTTCAGAACTGGGTCCCATCTCCAAGGTATATGTAGATGCAAATGTTCCCCAAAATCTGAAATAATCCAAAACCCAAAATTGTCTACATGGGTGTATGTATGTATGTATATATGTGTGTGTATGTACGTCTGTGTGTGTGTATACACACACACCTTTGCTTTATATACCTTTGGTTTCTGATGGTTCAATGTCCCCAAACTTTGCCTCATGCACAAAATTACTCAATATATTGTATATAAAATCACCTTCAGACTTTGTGGGTAAGGTGTATACAAAACATATATGAATTTTGGGTTTAAAATTGGGTCCCATCTCCCAGATATCTCATTATATAGCTGCAAATATATCCCAAAAATCTGAAATAATCCAATACCAAAAATCATCCACATAGGTGACGGAGACAGTGACATCTTTGCCTTCTGATGGTTCAATATACCCAAACTTTACACCATGCCCAAAATAAATTTAAAATATTGTGTATAAAATCACCTTCAGGCTATGCATGTAAGATGCATC